AGAGAGAGAGAGAGAGAGAGAGAGAAAGAGAAAGAAAGAAAAAGAGAGAGAGACGGAGAGAGAAAGAAAGAATGAAAACCCCGTGCAATAATATACATAAATCACAGTCCATCTACATCAACATGTCGTTTTTTCTCTGTCAGCAAAAGTTGGTGGTTGGCGGGTGCTCTGGTGTGGTCTGCTCCTTCTCTCCTATCAAACATCTATCGTCCTGATCTCTCCTCCCTCCTTCCGTTTTTGTGTTTGTTACTCTCTTGTAACACCTCTATTCTTCAGCACTTATATGACCTTATTGTGTTGCAAGTGGCGTAAAACTCTTTCTTACTAAACGAAAACTTTCAGCGAAAACTTGGTATCAACGTCCAGTTCAACACATCGGTCCAGCACATCCAGCCAGTGGACAACAGCTCCGCCCCCGACGGTCACTTGTACAGGATGGAAGACCAGAGGGGCCAGTGCTACGAGTGTCGGTGAGTTGCCCTGGGGTTGGGTGTTGTTAAGCCTGTGTTACACGTTCAGTGAAAACTTGACAGACAGTTGTCCACCCTATTTGTGATAACAAAATGATGCATGGTGCAATATTTTAAAAATTTACTTTTTTTGAGTGATCTTCAAAATCCAGCAAAAAAGAAAGTCACCTGCGAGCCATTTTGTTAATTCTAATACTCTCTATTTTTTATTTCTTTCTTTCTTTATTTTTTTGATAAGGTGCATAAAGTAATATGAGCGCGCGGGACTCATAAAACATTTTCAGTCGGTAGGACATTTTGAATTTTGCCCGGGTGGTAGCCGAAGCCTACTCTTATCGATTTTGAACTACCAATGAATCTTTGACGTGCGCAATTTGCACACGGACCTCCGAGATTTTTCGCCCTTGTCCCAGAAGGCTAGGTGAAGGTCTTTCCTACAATAAGATCAAGAGTGTGGCTGAACGACAGCAGTGAGAAGGAGCCAAGGAGTAGCCGTAGAAAGGCTGCAGAAATTGTCATGAGCCCAGAGGAGCTGGCAAATGAGGTGAGGGGGTGAGGGCAGAAAGTGGAGACGGAATCAGACGACAGAACACTGTTAGAGAACAGGAAAGGATTAAAAGGAGAACATTTTATAGAAGAAAATTGTCCGTCGCTATCCGGATTCGAACCCACGACCCATTGAATGAGAGGCGAACACCTTAAGCTCTAGACCACTCGAGCCACCATCCGTCCTCTTTGTGATAAGAAAATGTGAGACGGCGTGGTGGAATTAGGCTCTCGTCAAAATAATCAAATTGAAGAAACTTGCATTTTTCCACAGGTCAGTGAATTTTTTTTCAAATTTTTGTTTTTTGACTCAACATCTTTCATGCCCATTAAAGAACTCATTCCTGTGTGGATTTTTTTTCTGAGAAACGTTGATTAAAGGCACAAAATAAATGTAAATTTTCAGTTACCACGGACTCTTATGCTAAGGAAATAACTATCTTTGGCGGCCATTTTCTCACTAATCTTACCTCTGAAAACAGGTGACACCCACCTCCTACTTTCGCAAATATCTCGACTTGTATTTAAGATAAATGGGTATTTTTTTCACCCTAAATAAAGACAAATGAACAAGATTTAAGGTGATACCAATAACTCTACATGCCCAAAAATTGACGAGAGCCTGATTCCACCACGCTGCCTCACAAATGATGCATAATGCAACCTCAACAAAAATTTACTTTTTTTCTGTGTGATCCTGAAAATCCATCAGGAAAAAGAGCCTTTCGGGAGCCATTTTGTTAATAATTTTGATACGCTAGTTCTGAATTTGACATTATCTTCACGTTTAGACGTAGTTTTCAAAATGTTCACAAGCGAGAATGTTATCGCCAGCGGGCGGCAGACAGTCCCAAGGCCGGACGCACAAAAAGCAAGTTGTACAAAGTGAAGGAAACATTAATTTGTATCTCTTCATCTCCTCATATTTAATTTGGTCGCTTTTAAGAACAAGCGGGCTATCCCGAAAAATGCTGTTTTGAGAAAATCGAAGGTAAAGTTTTTGTCCCTTGTTCAGTTTCTTTAAAAGACAAAGAGAGTATTCTCTATTACCAAACAAGTATACACACCAATGAAACCGAACTTCTCCTATAGGTAGGACAATGCCCACTTTTGGTGTAGGTCAAAATTTCTGGAAACCCCCTAAATCCGGATTAGCACGCTTGTCCTTAAAAGCGACCATTTATGTTAAAATCCTCCCTTGATGTGTATTTCTTTTTAATGTAGGTGTTCTTACGCCCCCATCAACCCAATTTAGATCACCTAGGAGGCAGACTTCTGTCTGACTCTGCCTTTTAGATCAACCCAGGCTGAGAGAGATACAACATCTCAGCATAAAAAGACCAACAACCGAGATACTCGATGAAAATTTGTACCTCCAAAGCCGTTGCAAACGACTAACGCAAATTGCTCCTTGCGAGATGAATAAATATTGCATTGTCGTTGTCATAACCAAATCAGTGTCACTTGCAGAACTAAGCTGCCATAGTGGATTCTTTTCTTGCCGGGCAAAATTCAAAATTAAATCCTACCAAAGTGAAACTGTTAGACGTGTCCTGCAGGCTCATATTATTACCTTTTGCAGTTGCGAGCGAAGTAAGACACCTACTTACTTGGATTTACTTGGATCCAGAGCTAGAATCATAGCAGGCGGCACATGTCCATAGCTGCTCATCTCTCCTTTCCAGCGTCCACATCAGGGTCTTCCTGCTAATTGTCTCCATGAGGAGCTGGTTTGAGACACGCCTGACCACTCCTCGGAGCAAACTTTTTTTCGCTGTGCCCCGCACACACTTTCCTTTTATTGTGCTGAGTGTGTGGGAGTCTGTCTCCTCTTGGTTGAGAAGGCTCTCCTTGCATCTGGCGATCACCATTGGTGGGTCGAGCATGATTCGGCCATTGGGTGTTGCTTTGCCGGCAAGTTCATCAGCACGCTCATTTCCGTGCACCCCGGCGTGACCAGGGCAGAACACCCATGTAATTCTTAGGAGGTGGCTATTTGCAATGGAAGCTCTCCAGTCACTGTAGAGCCACCCACTCCTGATTTTTTCTAGGGTGCTCATCGAATCTGTGACAAACAGGGCATGTTTATACGCTTCCATGCTGATCCATTCCAGCGCCTCTATTATTGCCTTGACCTTCATTGCCATGCTCGGCGTAGTGTACTCGTAGGCTCCAGACTGTGCTTTAATTATCTTTCCGTCAACTCGAGCACTGAACGCCCACCCAGATTTCTGGCCACGCCTCACTGATCCGTCGGTTACCTAGATCGACCAAAATAAACAATTTCTTCTTCTTTTTCTCCTTAGGACTTTGGTAGTGGCCACTGGAATAGCTACGCCAAATATCCCTGACATGAAGGGCATGGAGCTGGCCCATGGGTATGAGAACATGTCACTTAACACAGACGATTATGAAGGCAAAACTGTTCTCATTCTCGGTGAGCTGATTCCTTCATAGGAAATATGTTTTTACGTTTGCGGTGATGGCTCCGATGATGATGATGATGATGATGATGATGATGATGATGATGATGATGATGATGACCACTCTATCATTTCTTGTATTTGAAAAAAAAATCCTATATTGTCATAGATTCTCTACAAATTATGGTACATATATTTTCCTCTTTACAAGTACGTGTATTTTGAAATGACGGCCGAAACTAGACAGGAACGAGCCTAAAATAGGCGAAGAGAAAACAAGCCCATAGACAAAAGTTCTGTTTTTTTTAAAACAAACCTAAGATAGGCGAAGAAAAGCCCTAAGATTGGCGTGGGAGCAAAAAACAACAAGTAGGCTACTAAGAATATAGACAAAACTATAACAAGCCCTAAAAAAGGCGAAAAAATAATAATGATAATAGATAGCATTTGTATAGCGCATATCCCCGCTCAGCAGCAGGCTCTATGCGCTTTACACTATATTATTATTACCCCAGCAGACCATAGAACACTCCGAAACATTCTCAGCTTCCCGGGAAGCATACAGTGCAAGCAGCCGATTAAGCGCTCAAACACTAACAAACTGACAAGATCTTTCGCTGTCTATAGCCGGGTACCCATTCCCACCTGGGTGAAGTGAGGAAAATTCGTGTAAAGTGCCTTTCCCAAGGACACAACGTCGGGCCCTTGACGGGATTCGAACCCACGACCTTACGGTTGCGAGTCCGAGAGCCTAACCACTAGGCCACCGACGCCACATGTCCTTCGATAAGAAAACTTAGTTTATGTCATAATAAGCGGGAAAATATTCAAGTCCAAAGATAGGCGAGAAAAAAAGCAAGTGGTGGGTGGGAAATAATAAATGCAGAAAAAAATGTTTAAATAGTTGAAAAAAAACAATAAGTTCTATTGAATTAACTTCTTAGGCGAAAAAAAGCAAGATTAAAGAGTAAAACAGGCGAGAAGAAAAAGCAGGGTCTAAGAGTAAAATAGGCCAAAAAAGCAGGTCTTAAGAGTAAGACAGGCAATAAAGCAAGTATTCAGAGTAACATAGGCTAGGAAAAAGCATTTTAGCTAAGAGTAACACAGGCTCTCCATCCATTCCACCGCAGGTCGCGGAAACACGGCTTTTGAAATAGCGACAAGCCTCTACGGCTCCACCAACTACATCCATATGATCGCCCGCTCTAGGGCAAGGCTATCCTGGTCAACGCACTACGTGGGAGATCTTAGGTTTGTACTTCATCATCATTGACTTTCTCACCCTAGGCCAGGGTATATATATATATATATA